TCCCCACCTGCAGCGACTGCGCTTGCGGTCCCGGCTGGGATCTGACCCTGCCTCCCCCTCCGCAGCGTGAGTGCATCTCCGTCCACGTCGGCCAGGCCGGCGTCCAGATGGGCAACACCTGCTGGGAGCTGTGCTGCCTGGAGCACGGCATCCAGCCCGACGGGCAGATGCCCAGTGACAAAACCATTGGTGGAGGGGACGACTCCTTCACCACCTTCTTCTGCGAGACTGGGGCTGGGAAGCATGTCCCGCGGGCCATCTTTGTGGACCTGGAGCCCACTGTGATCGGTGAGTGCTGGAGTTTGCACAGCCTGGGGTGCCCCCCTGGGTGGGCAGCAAGCGGCTGGTGCTCGTGGTTTGCTGGCAGTATCCTGCACCGGGTTCAACCTGAGGGCCCTCCTTTCCCCAGGAGGAGCCACAAACCTGAGCACCAGCTTTTGTTCCTGAAATGTCCTAGCAGCGGTGCTGCTAGTCTCTGCTACCACATGTGCACTGAGAGAAACCAGCCCAGCCGGCACGGCAGCTCCTGCTGTGCCGCTGCACGCTGTGGACAGGCAGCTCTGAAGCTGAGCTTCTCCTGCGCAGGGAGGTGGCAGCCACCTCCTGCCAGAGAAACCTGATGCTGGTGGTGGCCCTGCTGACGTGTGGGTCCTTGGCCATGTCCCCGGCAGGCGGAGCTGGGAGGAGAGCGCGGGATGGGTGCTCGCACCCACTTGGCTGCTTGGCGGCCCGCTCAAACCAACAGCCTGCGCCAGGCTCAACCCTCCCCTGCTCTCTCCTAGACGAGGTTCGGGCTGGAATCTACCGCCAGCTCTTCCACCCCGAGCAGCTGATCACCGGCAAGGAGGATGCTGCAAACAACTACGCCCGCGGGCACTACACCATCGGCAAAGAGATCATCGACCAAGTGCTGGACAGGATCCGGAAGCTGGTAGGTGACCACAGAGGGGGGACATGTCCCCCTGGGCTGGGCTCCAGCATCCTGCTGGGCGTCAGAGCGCACTGCAAGCCCTGCTGCACCCTGGGAGGGCTCTGCAGCTGCCCATGGCAGGGATGGACCAGGTCCTGAAGGACTTCTGAACAGTCAGATGGTCACAAGGAAATCTATCTCAGAGAAATCTCATGCGTCTCTCTCCACAGGCTGACCAGTGCACAGGACTCCAGGGAACGGTGGACACATCTACGTCATCCGCAGCAGGAACCTGGACATCGAGCGCCGAGCGCCCGACCTACACCACCTTGAACAGACTCATCAGCCAGATCGTCTCACAGCATCACTGCGGTTTGCGGTTT